TACAGGACCAAGTCTCCTCTGGGTGGTGCCAAAATATGAGCGCAATAGAATCATCAAGTTACCATAAGGCACGGAATGAGACTATTGCATGGCTGGGTAGTCAAAGTCTTCCATTCGTTAGTCATTTCAGGTGGATTAGAACAGGTTTAGGTGGGCGTTGGCCAGATTTGGATTTTTCAGATGTAATCCTGGATAGGACCCTGTCATTGAACGTCGCGTGAAAGTGGAACTTAATGAAGGCCTAAGTACTTTTTCGTAGTTTTATGTTTTTGCTTACTGAGCAGAACATCATGAGTCTAATCTCAGGCCCATCCACATTCAAGATTCGTCAATCGTTTTATTTGTTAATATGACTACATGGTAATAACAGCAACTCGGTGATTAAAAAGGTGCTCGTCTGCCTAGTGGCAAACGTTTTTGCTTACTGAGCAGAAGACCGTGGGTTTAGTCCCAAGCTCCTTCGCGTGGAAGTGCAGAGGTGTTCTCGACTTCCATCAAAGCGAGTGTCATGTCAACACAATCCTTCCCATTCCTTTCTTGACCTGTGTTCGAGGGCGGCCGGCGCTGGTATTGCCTAATTTAAGATCACCAGTTTTTACACATTGAGGATGATTGCTAGTCCCAAGCATCGTCTATTGGTTCTCTGTGTAATTACAGCTGATCTGGCAGTAACAGAGTAGCAACCGTGGGCGGTCAATCAAGCTCAAGCAAGCAAGCAAGCTCATGTCGGAAGTTCCTTGAACTTGTCGGAAGTATCCTGAAGTTCAAAGAACAACCCACTATAAATTCAGAGAACTTCCGACAAGAACTTCAGAGACCGATGTCCAGAGAACTTCTGAGGATAGCTTCAGAGATTTTCCGACGTGAAATTCAAAGAAATTTCGACTAGAAGAATGGAGAACTTCCGACGAAAAGTTCACAGCACTTCTGAGGATAGGTTCAAAGAACTTCCGACGAGACGTTCAGAGACTTTTGACAAATAATTCCGAAGAGAAGTTCAAAGAATTTCCGAGGAAAAGTTCAGAGAACTTCCGAAAAGAGGCGATAACTTCCGACAAGAAATTCACAGATCTTCCAAGGAGAAGTTCCGAGAACTTCCGAGGAGAAACTCAAAGAACTTCCGAGGAGAGTATCAGAGACTTTCGTCGAAAAATTCAGACAACTTCCGACAACTTAAGAGAACTGTCAAGGAGAGGTTCAGTGAACTTCCAACGAGAAGTTCAATGGTATTTCGACGAGAAGTTCAGATAAATTACGACGAGAAGGTCTGAGAACATCCGGTGAGAAGTTCAGATAATTTCCGACGAGAAGTTCAGAGCACTTCTGAAGAGAAGTTCAATGTACTTCCCACGAGATGTTCAGAGAACTTCCGAAGAGAAGTTAAGAGAACTTCCGAAGGGAGGAGTTTTATTTTCTTTTAATATTGTATATTAGCGAAGACAACAAATCAAGAAGACTGGGAACTCTTCCATTTTCTCAAACGAACGCTATGAGACAGGTACAATCGCGTCATCTGCCGCTCACAGGTAAATGCTTCATACGAATTTGATAGCAAAGATTACATCCTCATAAGATAGGTTTGTGTATTTGCTAATATTTCTATACGTTGCTTCCACCTTCCCTCTAGCGCAGCGCTCTTGGTGTGTTGTCTTCGATATTAGTCAAGCTTGAAAATGCACATTACAGCTATTTTAGCTGCTTTTCGAAATCATGAAAATATCATATATTACAATAATATTCGTTACATGTAAGAAGCAAGAAGAGGAGGTTAAGTTTTGTGTATGACACATAAAACCTGTCAATTTCGCTTCCAGAGTGTCACAATTAGCAATTAGCTATAACGAAGAGTACTCACTGATCGTGATTACTCATTACAGCTAAAATAGCTTCCACATTCTTGCATGCAGCATCACAAAAGGGCCTTAAAAACAGTGGAGCTCTGGAATATTTTAAACAAATTGACCACTTTTACGGATATTCTAAATCTTCCGGAGGACCGTCCCGTGGCCAGCAAAGAGTGCACATTAGACTGATGCAAAATTTGAAATTTTCACTCCACAGTGCTCAAACGGTTCCACATTGGGCCCTGATCAGCCTCCCAAAATTAGAACTCATTTAGTTAGAAACTGACTTGGCACAAATCATTTGAAGTTTGTATGGGAATTACTATGGAGAAACCATAATTTCGGTTCATATCTATCTCAAAATTCACCAGTTCAGTCTATTTTAGAAAGTGATAGCTGAGCTTGTTGAACATTTTCTCAGCTACAACTTTGTTGAAGACCACTTTTCGATCAAATGTAAGGAGCACAAATTATTAATGATTCAAGTCCCTGATGTCTTATGATTATGCTCAATCAACTATTCAGCAGGCAACATTGGTGTTTATAGCGCGTAGAATAGAAGACAAAAATCATGGCTACTATGTCACACTGCAGAATACAGTGTTGCCCACAATACAGTTGCTTAATCTTGCCGTAATATTATCAATCTCTTAAATAATTAATAACTATTTAGTTTGACGCTTGGCTCAAAAATGATCTTCTGCAAAGTTGTAGCTGATAAAAATTCCCATAAGAATAACAATAGAATTTGTTACCAGTACAATATGTAAAAAGGTTAGAAGACAATGAACAAAAAGTTTTGCTTTCCCTTAGTATATTCCATATAAACTTCAAATGGTTTATGCCAAGTCAGTTTCTCACTAAATGAGTTCAAGTTTTAGGAAGCTAATCAGGGTCCAATTTGAAACCGTTTGAGTACTACGGAGCAAAAATTTCAAATTTTGCATCAGTCTAATGTAAATGCTGATCTTAAATCTAAATTCATCCAATGTGGCATCACAATAAGTGATTTAAAAAAATAATCGCTGAGGCATCGGATATTTCGTACGAATTGACAACCTTTAAGGATGTTTCGGATCTTCCGGAGGACCGGTTCTTGTGTTTAGGCACATCTTGGTACAGTTCTGCAAACCGCCGAAAAGTTATCGGAACTTCTCTGAAGATCCCGCAATTTTCCTGAAATTCTCGAAACTTTGCCAAAATTCTTGGAAACTCCTCAGTTTGTCTGAACTACGTTGAAAGCTTTGTAATTTCACTGCAGTTAATTGAACTGACCTGAGGTTTTCTGACCTTCTCTGATGTTGTTGGAGCTTTCCTGAAGATCTCGCCACTCTCTTGAAGTGCTTATTTGAAGCTCTGAGATAAATGGAATCCGCAGGAAACATGTTATAACATCCTTGAAGTTCTCTGGACTACCAAGAAGCTCCTGAAATATTTCTAAAGTTTTCTGAGCTTCTCTGTAGTTTTCTAGATTTCCCTGGAATTCTCAGAAATGCTTAAAGGTTTTCATCATTTTCCTAAAATTCTCGAAATATCTCTTAAGTTATAAGTAATAAAATTATAATTGTAAATGGACAATGCATTAGTTGTTTAGATTACCAAATTTTGACACATGACACACTGCTTTGACCATCAGTACTCCCGCGTTGCCTGAGGTCAAGTTTATTAGCTCGTGAAAGGTGTTTTTCCCCAAAGGATTCAAGCGAGTCTTGCGGAAACCCCTCCCATAAATATAACGCACTCAAACGTACGACTTCCTTGAAGAAATGACCCTATTAGTAGCCTACAAAACCGCTCGGAACATGCAAACTGGAAATCAACCCATTCTCCTTCCAGTATACACATTTACCTACATAGAGGAGGAGTGTAACGACATCGGAAGTTGCGTTTTATAGACCGGAAAGTCTTCACCGTTTGCCTCGTCGCCACTTGACTTGACACACATGCATCTGAACATCGCAGCAAGCCAGCGGTGGTCATACACTCACTTGGCCGCGTGTTTGGCTATGTGGCCATGGCACCACCACAGCCTTCTTCAATATCATAAATATTAAAATTTATCGCCATGAAATGAGTCATATTTCCATGTATAAATAATTCACTTTCAGAACGCAAACACTCCCCGCGATGGACGGGTGTTCTATACTCGGAACATTGTCCTACGCCTCCTATATGGGCACGTGAAAGAAAAACCCATTTTGGTTTCGCACGTATGTGTCAATCACTGCCGCCAGGGATGCAATTGGTACCTGGACCCTCGATCGAACCCATCAACCCATGGGCTGGGACCTCGGCTGGGATTGAACCCAGAAGCTTTCTTTCCGTGTGGGCATGTGTTGTGGAGGTGATCGATATTAGAGGTGAAATAAGACAGGATACTCAAAGAAACCCATCGACGCGCTGCTGCTGGCTCGAAGAGCTGTGTGGCAATCTTGGATTATTTCGATACCGAACAGAAAGGAATTATTGATGACTTTTCCAGGAGGTTGTTACCTCACTCTTGGTTGGTCAGAGTGGCTGCAAGGGCATGAAATTTTCCTTCGGGTGAACAACACGAACGAGGTCATATTTTTTTTCGTTATGAACAATCTTGATCAACTTGGTATGTCATGATAATTGATGGTTGTCAGCTTTTGACATTCTGATTGAAGTGAGTGACCGAGGTGTGGCTTGTAAAACAATGCTTTTCAAGTCTCGCTTGGCAAGGGTTGGTCGAAAAGATTAGTAGAAGCATGTCATTTAATTTGAAATCGATGCATTTTTATAGGTCGATTCGTGCTGTTACATACATGTGCTGAAAATTGGACTATCGGGACGGGCGCCTACATATATTCAGAGCGGCTCCAACCGATTACGAATGGTCGATGTATTGGCACATCTACATATACTGGCACAGTTTCTGCCTCCTACACATTCGTTCGCATCTTGCACGGCCTGTGTTCGAACGCGTCGGCGTTGAACGGGTCTATCGTCTAGACAGACGCCAAGCTGGGGTAGGACAATTGGATTCCGTATGAACAGTACTGAACTGATGAAAACAATTGGACCGCGATTGTCGTTTTAAAACAATGCTGGCAGAAGTTGTCATTTAATCTTCATCTTTACACTTTGAAAAAATCCAGAATGATTATTGTATTTTTCTTTTTCTCCTCTTAGTTCCCATGGAAACCACAACGTTCCTCGGGGCGGCCCTCGGCTTCATCGCGTTGATGTTGGTCTTATTCCTGTACATTAACCGGAAATGGTGCTTCGCCACACCTGGATCGTTTATTTGCTGCGACGAGAACACCCTACCGGCAAAAACGGTACACACCATCCGTAAGTATCGCAGGAGCCGTTGAGAGAACTAAAAAAAAAAACGAAAACAACCATGCGTCTCCACCACACCAGTTTCCTTCTTAGGTATAATAACAGCAAGCAATCTAATGAGCGGCGAAAGCAAATAGAGCTATTAGGTTGGGGGTGGCGAGGCGAGAGATCCATTAATTCGCCATTGGCGAACATTTGTAGGGACATTTATTGACATCATAACCTCAAAACGAAGCAAGCCGGCTCCGACGGACTAATTGATTCCGCTTGCCCATTTCCTCCCTCAGGTTTGTAGGACATTCATATAACATAATTGACTCTACGGAAATGGCCATTATTTGTAACTGTCGGCGGGAAGTCATGCCATAGCTGGAGAATGCATTGTATGAAATTGAGTAAGAAGTGGTGAACCGGCGATGGATATCTCCATTTACCAATGGGTTTTCCTTCATTGGACGGTGCAAGGGGTCGGTGGATGGAATGAATGATTGCTCATCAAATTACTGACTATCGGTTGCAATTGGAGGCGACTTATGGGAGTGGTACTTTATGAAGTGTTTTGTGGATTTCTTTCTTTCATTGTTATTACGTCGCGCCTTCGGTGACCGCAGCGGGACACTTTCTCCTTCTCCGTGGATTCAGTTTTAACGAAAGAAGAGTGCTCGATTGTGTCGCATGGAAACGATTTTCCTTGTGACATGCTGTTGCTGTCAATGGAAAATGGCAGATGGAAAAGGTCATCACGTGTCGCCGGGATTCTAGGATGACCGGTTGCTTAGGAGATGAGACATTTTTATGGTATCTAGATTTGCATGTAACATTTTGTCAATGGAAACTTGCTTGAGTCTTGCCGCAGATGTCGCTAGTCAACAAAAGCTACGATATTTTATATCGTATGCAGAAAGTCACGCGAAAGTTAAGTTTTTGGTTATTCTGAAGATAAAATCTAGCGTTTTAGAAGTTGTTTTTTTCGATGACTTATGAAATATGCTGCTTCCTGTAAAAGAACAGGATCAACAAAAAATCGAATTGTTTAACAGTGTTGTGTCAATCTGCAGTGGTTCGGGAATGAAAATTAGGCGAAACAAAATATTTTGACCCGGAAATTGCAACTTTACCTACCGGTAAAAGGTCAAAAGGTCGAAGGGACAAAAGGTCGAATCATTAATAAAATAATAGGACAAATGGTCGAAAGGGTCGAATCATTAAAAAATTATAGGACTAAATGTCAAACGGATAAAAGGTCGAATCATCAACAAATTAATAGGACAACATATCGGAAGGTCGAAGGAAGAAAAGGTCGAAGGAAGAAAAGGTTGAAACTGTAAAACATTAAAGGAAAACAAACTCGTCCAATTTTAGCAATCAATCTGATCCGTTAAAATATGTTTCTGAAAATCAATTGAGCGCTCATAGAGTTGGCTCCTTCTTTCAAACATGAGTAGTTCTTTAATAGCTGGGGGTGCGACACATCCAAATCTCAATTTTAGATGGTCAGAAAATATTACGTTATCGAATCAATCTACGATAAATCTTCTATCCAAATCCATCTACTCGCATCGCACTCCAACTTTTTGCAGGAAATCTTCAAAATCTCCATCAATCTTTTTTCTATATACTAAGCGTTCGTGCATCTCACAACAACAAAGCGAAATTTTTCATGCATCTTAGATAGCAGTTCTGATTTGATTTCCACGGCGAATCACTTCACTGTGAGTGATAAGTTGTCACTTTACTTCGTTTTCCCCATGAAGCTACACCCGTAATAAGGGCCTTGGTTTCATCTCAGTTGTTTGACTTTTGGATCGATTCGACCTTTTTTCCCTTCGACGTTTTGTCCATTGGAACTTTTTTCCCTTGGATTATTTGTCCTTAGGACCTTTTGCGCTTTCGAACTTTTGTCGTCCAAACCTTTTGTCCCTTCGACCTTTTGTTTTTTTTTTACCTTTTGTCCTTTCTATCTTTTGTGCATTCGACCTTCTGTCTCTCGAACCTTTTGTCCTATTTTTTTCATGATTAATCCTTTTATCCTTTCGACTTTTTGTCCCTTTGGTCTTTTGTCCTTTCAACCTTTTGTCCATTCGTCCTTTTGCCCTATTGTTTTTTTTTATGATTCGACCTTTCGTCCCTTCTACCTTTTGTTATATATTCTACCTGCATAGTGTATTCTGTGATGTTGTTGCTTATAACAAGACCTTATTTTGAAGAATGTTGCAAATAGGGTGGTCTTTAAGCTGCCGAAAAATGAAATTTAACTTTTTTCATTTCTCATTATAACATGATGCAACCTTCTACAAAGTTGCAGATTACGTAATTTTAACGTACTGTCACGGTAAATGTAGAGCTATTTGCTCACTGATTCAGCGTATGTGTGCACTCACGAATTCATGCGCTCCCTTAAAGGAAGCGCATACAAAACTAGAGTACGCAATATTCCGATTTTTTTTTTAATATTCCTGATTTTCTAGAAATTTTTCATAATTCCTCGTAAAGTCTTGGAAGTTTCTGAAACTAATTAATCGAACTGCTGTGAAGTTATCTAATGAGAAACTGCTTTGTAGTTCTCATAATCATCGCAATATCCCTGAAAATTATGGAAATGCCTAAAATTCTCAACACTTCTCTGAAGTTCTCTGCGCTTCCCTGAGGATCTCAGAACTGCAGTTATCGGAAATTCCCTGACTTTCTAGTTACGTTAAGAACGACATTGAAGCAAGCCATGCTATTATTAATTTGTATTCTCTCAAAAAATAAATGTTAGTTAATGTTAGACCACCAACCAAGCAGGTTGTACTTCTCTTTAACCTCCAAGAGGTTATGGGCCCAGCGCTTGGGTTGCCAAGAAACGGATCAACAACGGAAGAAAATTTTCATTGAAGCCAGGTAAAATGGAGAAAATTCACGTCCCGAAGCTGAACGGAACGAATTACAGCAGCTGGAAGTTCAGCACCGAACTGCTGCTGATTCGTGAAGATCTATGGAAATACGTCACCGGGGCAAGACCAGAAGCACGAGCTGCGACGGAACGTGACCCGGGAAATGCGGCCGCTATCGAAGCCTGGAACTCTGGGGACCAGCGTGTACGAGCGACAATCGGTCTTTTGATGGAGACAAACCAGCATGGTCTCATCAAGCAGACGAAAACGGCTCGTGAAGCGTGGGACAAGCTGAAGGACCATTTCGAGAAGCCGACGTTGACATCGAAGGTATCGTATCTGCGAAACTTGATTTCCAACCGGTACTGTGAAGGCGAGGACATGGAGAAGCACGTGAACGAAATGGAGGAAGTTTTCGAACGTCTTTCCGTGTCAGGATTGAAGCTGGACGGAAAGCTGCAGGTTGCGTTGGTGCTCAGTAGTCTACCAAAATCGTTCAACACGCTGACGACCGCGTTGAAGAGTCGGGCGGATGATGAATTGACGCTGGAGCTCGTGAAAACCAAGCTGGTCGACGAAGTGACGAAACATGGTAGCTACAACGCGGATACCATTCTGAAGGCTGGATCTGGTAAGAAGGTAATCGTCTGTCATTATTGCCAGAAGTCGGGTCATAAGCAGCGGGACTGTCGGAAGCTAGCAAGCGATCAAGAAGGAGAAAGTAGAAGCGACCAGAAGCACAGGAAGAATCCATCCAAAGCGAAGGCGGTTCGAGAAGCGAAAAATGACAACTGTGCTTTCACGGCGAAAGGGACTGGTGAAACCGGAAACTGGATCGTTGACTCTGGGGCGACCGCACATGTGCGCCGAGAGGAAATCCTTCCTTGAGCTGGACGAAGCAGTAAAGAAAAACGTCACGTTAGCCGACGGGACGATGACAGCTGCGAAGGGCAAAGGAACGTGCGAAGTGGACTGCTGCGATCTAGAAGGTAACAAACGAACAATTACGCTTTTAGATACCCTGTTTGTACCGAATCTAGATACGAATCTGATCTCGCTGGTCGAAAGGCGGAAAGGTGATTTTCGACACCGAAAACTGCAGAATCATGAAAAGAGCGCAAGTTGCAGCAGTGGCAACTGTGTCCAGTGGTTTGTACGTCATAAAAAACGCCCACAACGCTTTGAAGACCGGGGTGAAATCGCACACGCAAAACTGCCAACACGTGTGGCACAGGAAGATGGGTCACCGAGATAACGATGCTGTCCAGGAGCTGGTGAAAAAGGAGCTAGTAACCGGAATGAAAATCGAAGACTGTGGTATACGGTCTGTTAGCGAGTGCTGCCAAAAAGGAAAATTGGCGAGACTTCCGTTTCCGAAGAAGTCTAAGAAACGATCGAAAGAGCCTTTGAACCTCATCCACTTGGACGTGTGTGGTCCGATGAAGAATGTCACACCAGGAGGATGTCGGTACTATCTCACCGTCACCGACGATTATTCTCGCTACACAAATGTGTTTTTCCTGCGGGAGAAATCGGATGCTGAGGAGAAGCTGAGAGATTTTGTGATGGAAGTGGAGACGACGTTTGGCCAACCGCCGAAGATTGTGCGTTCCGACAATGGTGGTGAATTCAAGAACAGGTCACTGGAGAGTTTTTTCAAGAAAGAAGGAATCAGGCAGCAGTTCACTACTCCACACACCCCGCAACAGAACGGGACAGCAGAACGCAAGAACCGCTCTTTGAACGAAATGGCGCGGTGTATGCTGCTGGATGCAAGGCTTCCGACGAGTTACTGGGCGGAGGCTATGAACACATCGAACTATCTTCAAAATCGACTTCCGACCAGGTCATTGAAGACCACACCTTACGAAGCATGGTGGGGAGAAAAACCGGACCTGGGTCACCTTCAAGTTTTTGGTGCAGACGCTTATGTGTGGATCCCGAAGCAAAACCGGACGAAGTTGGATGCAGCAGCGCAGAAGATGACTTTCGTTGGTTGCTGGTCAGTGGACTTTTGGCACAGCACTGTAATCGTATCGGTCAGCTCGTATCTCTACAGCGAGGTGGATTTGCTGTAGATGGTTTCATCGTCTACGCCGACCGCCCTCAGAATGCAATCCACCTTCTGCAGTG